CCCTCCCTCTCACCCCCCTCTCCCCTCCGGCAGGAGGAGCAGCAGGAGGCGGCCATCGGGGACACCCAGGACACCAAACCCGTGGGGCTGATCCCGGAGCACCCTGGGGTGCTGGCACCCACCGGATCCTCGGGGGGGATTCAGGGATCCTCCCAACTCCCCAGTGTCTCCTCTTGCCGCGTCTGCTGCCGGGCCGGGGCCGTGGTGATGTGTGATTGTTGTGAGCGCTGCTACCACCTCAGCTGTCACCTCCCTGCCCTCCAGGAGGTCCCCAGGTAGGTCTTATCCCTGGGATCTGCTGGGATCCACTGGTCACCTCCCTCCGCCCCTGGGATCCGCTGGGATCCACTTTGTCACCTCCACCTGTCCCTGGGATGCACTGGTCACCTCCCTCCGCCCCTGGGATCCGCTGGGATCCACTTTGTCACCTCCCCATGTCCCTGGGATGCACTGATCACCTCCCTGCGCCCCTGGGAGCCTCTTGTTGTGCCCCTGTGGCACAGGGGGTACACCGAGGTGCTGCCATGTGTCCCCTCAGGGTCACCATGATGTGATGGGTGCCCTCGGGGTGCTACCACATGTCCCCTCGGGGTCTGTGTGAGGTGACAAGCATCCCCAGCGTCCTGCCATGTGTCCCCTCGGGGTCCCTGTGGTGTGACAAGCATCCTCAGTGTCCCTCTGGCGTGGGGGGTGCCTGAATTGCTGCCACATGTCCCCTCGGGGTCCGTGTGAGGTGACAAGCACCCCCAGCATCCTGCCATGTGTCCCCTCAGGGTCCATGTGGCACCAGGGTGCTGCCACATGTCCCCTCGGGGTCACCATGATGTGATGGGTGCCCTTGGGGTGCTGCCACGTGTCCCCTCGGGGTCTGTGTGGTGTGACCAAGCATCCCCCCCATCCTGCCATGTGTCCTCTCAGGGTCCATGTGGCATCAGGGTGCTGCCATGTGTCCCCTCGGGGTCACCATGATGTGATGGGTGCCCTTGGGGTGCTGCCACGTGTCCCCTCGGGGTCTGTGTGGTGTGACCAAGCATCCCCCCCATCCTGCCATGTGTCCTCTCAGGGTCCATGTGGCATCAGGGTGCTGCCATGTGTCCCCTCGGGGTCACCATGATGTGATGGGTGCCCTTGGGGTGCTGCCACGTGTCCCCTCGGGGTCTGTGTGGTGTGACCAAGCATCCCCCCCATCCTGCCATGTGTCCTCTCAGGGTCCATGTGGCATCAGGGTGCTGCCATGTGTCCCCTCGGGGTCACCATGATGTGATGGGTGCCCTTGGGGTGCTGCCACGTGCCCCTCGGGGTCCCTGTGGTGTGACAAGCATCTCCACCATCCTGTCATGTGTCCCCTTGGGGTCACCATGATGTGACAGGTGCCCTTGGGGTGCTGCCACGTGTCCCTCGGGGTCACCATGATGTGATGGGTGCCCTTGGGGTCCTGCCACATGTCCCCTCAGGGTCACCATGATGTGATGGGTGCCCTTGGGGTGCTGCCACATGTCCACTTGGGGTCCCTGTGGTGTGACAAGCATCCCCACCATCCTGCCATGTGTCCCCTCAGTGTCCGTGTGGCACCAGGGTGCTGCCACGTGTCCCCTCGGGGTCACCATGATGTGATGGGTCCCCTTGGGCTCCCTGCGTTGTGACAAGCCCCTACCCCCCCTGGACACTGTCACACGTGTCCCCCACGTTGTGACACGTCCCCCACCGTGTCCCCCAGATCTCCTACCAGCTCCACCGTGCCCTCAAGATGATCGTGGACCCCGTGGACCCTCAGGGCGATGTCAAATTCCAGTGGGACCCCAACACTTGGACCAAGAGCGTCGAGACCTTTGGTGAGGCCTCCTTGGGGGAGGGGACACCCCTTTGGGGACACCCCCCACCCCGTGACACCCCTCGTCTCCCCGACAGGCACCATCATCTCCGAGCCCAGCCTCCCCCCGCCGGCCCTGAGCCCCCAGCCGCCGGCCGCTAGCCCCCGGGACCCCAGCCCCACCACTAGTCCCTCGCAGGTATTTTGGCAAGGGGTGAACAGGGTGGCATTCTGGGGGGAGTCCTGCACCCATGGGTGCCCCCCCCTCACCCCTCTGTCCCCCAATTTCCCTTCCACAGGCCCCCCTGCCAGCCGTGGTGGTGAACAAAGGCCAACACGCTCCCGGTCCCCTCCTGCTGTCCCCTCTGGGCCACCAGATGGGAGCTGAGGAGGGACAGAGGACCCCCGGCGTCCCCCAGAGCGATGCGGGGGAGCAGAGGACGCCCACCCTGCCTCAGCTACCCCTGGGGACCGAGGGACAGGGCTGTCCTGACCTGTCCCCTCCACACCTTCACCCCCAGGTGGCCGAGAGCCCCAGGGACACGGCTGCGGAGCTTGGTGAGGGGGGGGTGACACAGGACAGGGGGGGAGGAGGAAGATGGAGGGGTGATGGAAGAGGGGAGGAGGATGAGGATGAGGGGTGACACACGGAGGGGGAGGGAAGAGGACGAAGGGGGGGTGACGATGAAGGGGGGTGACGGGGAGGAAGATGAGGATGAGGGGAGTGACACACAGGGGGAGGGAAGAGGATGAAGGGGGGTGACGGGGAGGAAGATGAGGATGAGGGGAGTGACACACAGGGGGAGGGAAGAGGATGAAGGGGGGTGACGGGGAGGAAGATGAGGATGAGGGGAGTGACACACAGGGGGAGGGAAGAGGAAGATGGGGGGAGGAAGGCCCCTGATGTGGGTTTTTCTCAGCAGCCAATGGCCCCCCCGAAGCTGCTGTCACCGGAGCGAAGAGGTGAGTGTTGGGGGGGGAAACCCTGTCCCTTGTCCCCAGGGCCCTTGTCACCCCTGTGCCTGGAGCGGTGGCTCCCCAACACCTCGCTGTCCCCTGTCCCCCCACACCTGCGACCCCCATCCCGCTGTCCCCAAAGTCCTTTTTCACCCCAGATGCCATCCCGCTGTCCCCAGGGCTGCCTTAGCCCTGTCCCCCCATCCCTGACACCCCCGTCACGCTGTCCCCAGGGGTGGCTTGGACGGCGCTGTCCCTTGTCCCCCCACACCTGGCACCCCCTTTTCTTTGTCACCCCATGTCCAGGGGGTGGCAAAGACACCCTGTCCCCCCCATACTTGGGGTTCTCCCCACCCTTGTCACCTCATACCCAGCGTCCCCCGTGTCCCCTGTCACTCCATATCCAGGTGTGGAGGACAAGGGACAAGGCCACCATGTCCCCGTCATCGTCCCTGGGTAGTGGGGCTCCATCCCAGGAGATCTCCCAGCTCGGGGTGGGGCTGGTGCTTGGCCCCCCCCCCCAAGGTGCTTTTATGACCTTATTATACAGGAAAAAGCACCTTCATCCTCCTGAGGAGGAGAAGTTAGTTAAGAAGCTGCTCGTTAAACGGTAATGATAACGAAGAGGGCTCCGGAGGTGGGGGGGAGAGGATGGGGGGCAACACATTCCAACAGCGAGTTTAGGGGGTGGCAGATGGAGCCCTAGGACACCCCCCCTTGTCACCCTGTCCCCAACGGTCCCCTCACCCTTGTCACCTCTGTGCAAGGGTGACTGTGAGTCCCCCCCTGCCTGAGGGTCCCTTGTCCCCCCCCAACCTGAGGGTCCCTTCTCCAGGATGTCCCTGTCACTCTCTTCCTTGGGTGCCCCCCCCTTTCTTGTCCCCTGTACCAGGAGGTGGCTGGGGTCTTCCTGTCCCTTGTCCCCCTGTCCCTGGGGTCCCCCCAT